AATTGGATATAGCTCCTACTATACATAGGCCATACAGCAGGTGAAAACTGGCAAGGCAGCTGGGGTTGATGGAATCCCACCTGAAGTCTGGAAGCATGGAGGCCAAGCACTCCATGCTAAATTTCACGAGCTCGTTGTGCGCTGCTGGGGAAAAAGGCGAACTCCCACCGGATCTCCGTGATGCAGTCGTCATCACCCTGTACAAGAAAAAAGGAGAAAAGTCAGACCGCTCAAACTACCGAGGTATTACTCTGCTCTCCACTGCTGGAAAAATCCTTGCATGAATACTTTTGAACAGATTAATACTCGCTATCTCAGAAGAACTCTTACCTGAAAGCCAATGTGGTTTCAGAGCCAATAGGAGTACCACGGACATGGTATTTGTTCTCGGACAACTGCAAGAGAAGTGCAGGGAACAGAACAAAGGACTCTATATAACTTTTATTGACCTCACCAAAGCTTTTGACACTGTGAGCAGAAAAGGCCCGTGGCAGATCTTGGAACGATTAGGATGTCCCCCCCAAGTTCCTCAAAATGTCTTCTTCAGCATGATGCTCCAAAGGGCCACAGCAGTCCTTGATGAAGAAAACGGCATTTACATCCAATATAGTACTGATGGAAGCCTATTCAACCTAAGGCTTCTGAAGGCCCACACTAAGATCCTGAATCATCTTGTCCGTGAGCTGTTTTTGCTGACGATGCTGCCCTCGTTGCTCATACAGAAGCAGCACTGCAAGCGCCTAACATCCTGCTTTGCAGAGGCTGCTGAGCTTTTTGGGCTGGAAGTCAGTTTGAAGAAGACGGAAGTTCGCTACCAACCTGCACCTCAGGAAATCTTCCATCATCCCCACATCACCATAGATAAATCAGAGCTTAAGTCAGTCCAAAAGTTCAGCTATCTTGGAAGCATCATTTCCTCGGACGGTAAGATTGACAATGAGATAGACAACAGGTTAGCAAAGGCATACAGAGCTTTTGGAAAACTTCATAAAAGAGTCTGGTGCAATAAACACCTGAAAAGAAGTACAAGGATTAGTGTCTATAGAGCCATTGTACTGTCTACTCTTTTATATGGGTCTGAATCATGGGTCATCTACCACCACCTGCGACTCCTCGAACGCTTCCATCGGTGCTGCCTCCGTACAATCCTAAACATCCACTGGACTGATTACGTGACCAACGTGGCTGTCCTTGAACAGGCAGGGCTCACCAGTATTGAGGCCACGCTGCTGAGAACGCAGCTGCGCTGGGCAGGGCACGTCTCCAGGATGGAAGATCACTGCCTCCCCAAGATTGTGCTCTATGGTGAACTCACCACCGGCTGCTGCAAGAGAGGAGCCCCAGAGAGGAGATCCAAGGACTCCCTGAAACAATACCTCAGCTTTGGCCATATTGACTACCATCAGTGGTCCACTCTGGCCTCGAATCGGGAGACATGGAGAAGCACCATCCATAACGCTGCTGCTTCCTTTGAGAAGGCACGCAGAATCAGTTTTGAAGAGAAAAGACAACGCAGAAAGAACCGTGCCTCACCAATACTGCCTAAGGAGACCTTGCGCTGTGCCTTTTCCAACTGGACTTGCCTTTCTTCCATCGGGCTTTTTAGCCATCAGCGCGCTTGCAGCAAACATGGGTAAAGCCCTTCCCGTATCTTTGTTCGTGAAGCCTAGCCATGATGATGATGATGATCACAGTAGCCTGTGTTGGTGCGAGTGAGCTCACCTGCATCTGATCCCCTGTGAATATCTCTAAATTTTCTTGATACCAGTGGGAATTGAGCTGGTTAGTGCTTTGTATGATCATGTATGACTTGATAGTAATGGGTGGTATCTTCTGGATGTTTGGGTACCTTAATACCAAAAAAATATATACTGGTGGTGTTAACACTTTTGGATGAGCAAACGAGGTGTTTTGTTGTTGTTGAGGGGTTTTTTTTTTGTTGTTTTGTTTTGTTTGTTGAGTTTTGGGGAATTTGGCAGGGGAAACAGGTGTTCCCCTTTCCTCCTGGTCTCAATGAGCCATAGCTGCCTAAGTACTTGGTCCTTTCAAGGGAACTAAACATATGAGAAAGTGGGCTCCCTGTCTTCCTTCTCACTGCTGGAGTGAAGAGATGGTGTCATCAGCATCACACTGGCTCTGGAAAAGAACCCAGGATGCCAGAGATGCAGCAGAATTGGGGTGCAAAAATATAAGTTGCAGTTTAGCACTGTGTAACCCTCCAGATGTGCAACATTCACCATTTAGCACAGCATGTGTTAATCATGTCAGTGCCACTGTGACCATGGTGTCTTGCTCAGCACTGTTGTCCTCCTTCCTATAGAGTAACTTATAAAAACCCACTTGTCCATCCTGTTTTGTATTTAAAAAAAAAAAAATCAGTGCTCCTCCACTTTGAAGGCATGTTTTATTTTGATTTATGAACATTGCTTAAAAGCATTGCATTCAGGTGATGGCAGACAGTGAAGAGCACACAGGCTGTGTGACTGCAGTGAATGTTTCTTAGATGGCTGTTAGAGGATGAAAAGCACCTTCCACTGTCACCTGGTCCATCTACCCCTTCAGGGGAGAATGGGCTGTTTCAGTGTCTTTCCTGATGGACACTTGGCTAATGTACTCTTTAAGACCTCTAGTGATAAAGAATCACACCCTCACCTCCTCCATTCATACCCTGGTGAGTTTTGTCTCTAATGTAGAATCTAAATAAGCTAGTGAGAAATTAAAAAATAGAGGGGGAGAAAATAGCTAAAGCCCATATTTCTTCACAGTCTTATTTTTTGCTATTATTTAACCTACTATTTAATGAATGCTTTGTAAACAATGGTGTTACTGACTCTGCGCTTGAGCAAGATTTGCAATTTAAGTGTTAGAATTATTATCAAATAATCTGTTCTACCTATTCAGCAGTAATGAACATAAGTGCTTTTTGTTTTCACAACTCTAGCTGAGCTCCAAGTGAGTATCTGCATTTTCATGGCACTGCATATATAGTTCCCAAAATGGAGCAAGACTTGGGAGGGGGCAAGACTGTAACAAATTATGACTGCTGTAATTTGTTAGGTAGTGTGGTCCATGGACAAAACTTCAGAGATGGGAATCTAAATCATGGTAAAAGAAAAGAAGCGTGTAACTGATGGCTGGTGAGGCACAGTATGTGCATTTTGAGGGGTTTGTGCACAGAATGCATTTCTACCAATCTTGTGCACAAAGTGATGCTTAAACTTTTGGAGACTTGACCTAACAGTTTACACCAAGTCTTTGGATTTGTTTTAAAGGTGAAAGCATTGGAAAGTCAGAATTGAATTCTGAATGATATTTTTGAGTCAGTCGCTGTTGAAGAAATTCTTCATCTGTCTATGTCTAGTCCTAAAATATGTACCCAAGGAAGGTCTGTGGGGAAACTCTACAGTGAATAATTATGGAATAATCTGCACGGGGAAGACATTTGTAACCTCCATGAATCTGTGTCCTGAACCAGTAAGGCTTGTGTTTTCTTTTCTGAGACCTACTAAATTCTCATAGTGGCAGTTAATTTTTTACTAGGCCATGGATTTATGTTTTTTAAAAAATAAAATAAAATAAAAAATCAGAGTTTAAATTCCCAGTGCATCTTACTTTTGTCTTAGGCTAAATAAAATCAAACTGTAAAGAAGTCGAAGCTTCACTGAAACTGCATATAAAATTCATTTAGGTAAACTGTAAAATGTCCTCAGGTTTGAGCTAAGAGACAAGTCAGGATACAGTTTCTCTTGCAGCTTTGAACATACAGATGTAGCTCATACTAGTAATTTTCCAATGTTAGTGTTGCATTCTCTGAGTAACTTATAGCCTAGCTTATGGTTTATAGTGTCACAAGGTCAGAAAGAAGGAAAGCATAAATTCATGAATATTAAGAAGGAACTAAGATGTTGCTAACTTCACTGAGAAGAGATCAAGAATGAGTGTGATGGGTGGTAGATAATTATGCTTCTACAAGAAGTGTAAAGGCTGAGAAGAGTGCAATGCTCCTTTCCAGAAATAATGGTCCCATCTTCTCTAGATGCAGGGCAGAATATCCTTTCATTGAATATTGCATATGGCTATGGAAAACTGGTATAAAAATGGCCGGCTAATGTCACTGCCAGGTATCACTGACATTGCCCTGCATAAGGGTGCGGGGGGAGAAGACATGGTAAGGTTTAGTACACTCTAAATATAAAAATATTTTGTGAAACAGATGCTCTCTAAGCAACAGTCTTGCTGTATTGCAGAAGAGAAATATGTAACTTTTCAATATAGAAAAATGATCTTCCTATTCCTTAATCAATAACTTGGGGCAATGGGAGGCAGATTCCTAGAGGAGGCCTTTTCACTTTTGGGTCCTGAAGGCACTGCTTATCCATTGCATTCTCTCACAGATGAAGTAACTGTCAGCTTTCTGTGTCTGGCAGCTTGTTTTCAGCTAGAAAGGATTTAAGATTCACTGGGATTTGTGCTTTCAGCTTATTCCTTTCTTGCATGCTCAGTAATGCTAGCATTTCAGGACAGCACAGTTGCAGATGATGTGATACTGAGCTTCATTTAGCTAAATCTGGGTCTCGTCACCGGTTAAACTAGCTCCAGAAGAGCCAAGCAATAAATGCCTATGCAAACAAAACAGGCTGTTCTTTTGTGCCACACAAGGAGATTGTTCTAAAGTGTTAAAAAAACAAACAGCCCTTACAACTCCCTATCACAAATGGTTATGCGAGGGAGAAAATCCTCTAAGGAGGCACTACTCTTCCTGTTTAGGAGAATGGTGGTAACAGGGTATGAAGCAGTGGCTTAGATCTAGTCCACTTGATAATTGGTGTTATCAAAAAGAGGAGTGACAGTCCAGTCTTTCCACTCGATAAGGATCCACCCATGCCTCAAGGAAGGGGAGCGAGATGGTAAAGCGTGTGGTTGGGCACCTCTTGATGATGGAGACTGCTCCTGTAGCTCAGCTCTGCTGCTGCTCTCTGGGGAGCTCTTCAAAGCAGACAGGATTTCCTTCTTCCTAGGAGAGTGGAGAGGAGACTGTGTAGCTGCATCTGCTTGATGCCTCTGCGCTCAAGCTGGGTCAGCAGCTGTAGTGCCCAAATTCCCTTAACCAAATTTCAGGAGTTGTGTAGAGCAGGAGGAGGCACCATTAGCGGTTGCATTTGATGGGGTAGTAAGTGAGAGGGAGAAGCAGCATGACAGAGCAGAAATTAAAGGCAGAGATGACCAGAACCATCTGGTCAGTCAAACATTTCAGGTGTGGGAGTGGGGAGGATACCAAGATAAGGATTTTTACTCTGAAATGGGAGATGATCAATCAAAAGAACATTCCTCTTCACTTACTTGTTGTAATGACCATTCAGGGTCAGTATTATTAATCCCAGTATGAATGCCAAGGGGCTGAGGACTAGTATGGCTGTCTTCCAGTTGGTGCCTGAAAGGATATTGCATAAAACAACAATGCTTTTACCATAGCTCTTCTAATTCGGGACCTACTACTGTTGTAAAAAGCACCTCTAATATTGCTGCAGAGCAGTGGTAACAGTAGAGCAGGAAAATTACTTAAATTGAGCACATTATGGTTGTTCTGTTCCATCCAGCATCCATCTATTGAAAACAGCCAAATGAGGTGTTTCTTCCTTGCTTGGAAGACAACTCTTTATGCTTCTTCACTCTGCAATGCTTTGATGTGTAATAGAAAGGCAAGGGGAAAGCACCAGTGCTAGGCGATATCGCTGATTCTCCTCGTGAACTGGGACAAAGCATTTGCATGTTCTCGCTCCCTGGGCCTGAAGGACAAAAGTAAGGTCCGATCATTAAAATAAATTTCTCATACAGGTAAGTGTGGTGCTCCCTGTTGAGTACTGGGCATCCTCAGCTGGACCCACAGGAATGTAACCCAGCCGTTGGTGGGTGGGTTGGCGTGTATTATCTTTATCCCCCCCCCCCCCCCCCCCCCCTTCTCTGGTTAATCTTTAGACCTACCTGCAAGCCTGGCCCCAGAGCTTTTTCCCTTGATTTCCATGGTGCTTTTTAGAATGACTGTAGGATGGATCTGGAGGAAAGATGGAGACATTCAGAATAGTGAGTTCCACAGAGAGCTGTGGTTTCCTCCTAGATGCACAATAACCACAAAGCCCCTTGGTATCAAGGTGAAAGGAGAAGGGGAACCTTCTCATTCCTCAGTGTCACCCAGCCACAGAAATCTTTTATTCCTATAAATTCTGGTGGTTGCGCCTCCAGGCTAAGGCTATCATCACCAAATTGCTTCCCAGGGTAAATGTCCCAACTTGTTATGTGAGAGCAGCCTCCAAGCACTCAGAAGTGGGTGTGAAAGTACTCAGGAACTTAGGCTCACTGGAAAAAAATGAGTAATCCTTAGGTCTTCCCCACTTTTTCCCTCCTGCTGCTGTTATGTATGTGTTTGGAAAAGTGCTCACCCTCCTTTGCTGGGAGGTGTGCCTGGTGAGTCTTTGCTGGAGATACTGTGTTTTTGAAGTCGCTGGTCAGAGGCAGGTCAGTCAAGCCCATGGAAAGCTCCCTGTCCACAGCATGTGTCTCTGAATCAATGGTTTTAGCTTAGAAAGGAACAGAGTGGAGATATGGGATAATTACTTATTTTTTTTTTTTACTGAGTCCTGGGTATGCAACGGGTGGGAGCTCAGCCTTGCCATGTTAGTCCTGCACCCAATAAGACAAACAGGACTCGGCATAGGACCAAGCACCTCCTGTGTGTCAAGGGCCTTGCATTCTCATTGATTTCAAAGATGATTAAGTGAACCTCTTGGGGCTGAACTCACAGCCAGACAAGAGCTTGTTTTTTGGTGGTAGATAAGGTCAATTATGGTCTAAAAAACATGAATGCAGTATTAGTTGTTAAAGGATGAGATAGGAAGAAGAGGCAAGTAGAGCTATAGCTAAGCATCACAAATGTTACCAATACAGTAGATAAAGAAATGTGGGTGGTAAGTAGTTCATATCTCTTGCAAGTGAGTGAGGTAAATATGGTTTCAGGTATCAACTGTCGTTGATACTGAATTTGGGATTTCTCAAATACTCTCATTTCTGCTGGCTGAGAAGGTCATGGCTGGCATAGTGTCGATAGTCTTCAGAAGACCTTCACTCAGGTGGACTCTGAACCATGGGGAAAGCTATTGCTGTGCACAACCCACAGTAACAGGCAGAACATGGTTCCAGGCCTGCTCTGTGTTTTTACGCTTGTAGCCCTATTTGTGGAGTCTGGCTCCAAGGGAGCACTGGCGTGCCAGGAACATTGCCTTGGGGAATGCATAAACTCTTTTCACATGCCTTTTCCCCATATCTTAAATGTTCCAAGTATTTTCTAGTCTATATTTAACTAGCCTATTATAGTATCTATTTTTATTGGCTTTATTTACCTTTATGTTAGACACTAACATTTGTGACTACTGGTCTGTGATAATTACATGTTAAGCTTCTAGTTAGCTAATTGAAAACCTGAATAAAAAGGCCATCTTGTCTGCACATTACAGCCAAGAAAGCTATTGTATCTCTCTTTCCAATTAGATAGAGCCTCTTTGTGTCAAAAGGTTTTACTTGTAATCCATCTGCTTATGCAAATGAGATTAGTCATGTTTTCTCTTTACTCATTTCTGCAAAGCCTAAAGATCAGTGATGAGAACACTGTTTGGGTATGGTAGGAGGTAACTTTTAAGTGTTGCTCAAACTGAAGCAAGAATTTCTCATTTCAAATATAGCAGCTCCTTAATAATTCATATTCATTTTAAAAAGGTTTTCAACTGCCTCTAGTTTTCTCTCGAGCAATTCAAACAATTCTTAGCTTTGGGCACTGATTCAGACCAGCTTTCCAAAATATTTGAGTTTTGATGCATGCTTTCTGCAAAACACTGAACAGCAACTACTAGAAAGTGGTGGTACAGAAATGTAGGTGGGTTGGCTTTGAGCCTTTTGGTATCTCTTCAG